AACAAAAACTAATACAACATGCGCGGGTCAAATCTAACGGTTTACTAAAAGGTTGGTTAATATAGGTACTTACCTATAATAAAATACAATGCCCATGCACAATCGCTAAAATAATAAACGTAATAAATTTATCAATAATGAAAGATAGGTATGTTATTGTGCATTGCTCAACATATAGTACCTATTAGTAACTAATAGTTATTATATGGATTATCAAGTATGAATTATTTTTAGGTCACACTATGTACAACGTTTTTGCATGAACACACTTGCCGCCCTCTGCCTCCCAAAACTAGTTCACCGCCTTCCTACCGTCTAAAAATAATTCAATGCCCCCTAGTGATACTTCACCGCCCACTGGGGGGGGACGATATCGCCCCCGTTGAGAACCACTGTATTAAATAATACAAAATATAAATTTATATTTGATCTACCTAATGAAACATATTAAATTATGAATGGTTATGAAAATGAACATTGAAGGGGAAAAGAAACAAAGGATGAACAAAAAAGAGATAGATATAATTGAAAATGATTGAGGGCTTTAATAATAAAATTACTACATAATTTTTATTTTATTTTGTTGGTATACGAGAATGGTCTGGAATATTTACGGACTATCGTTATTGGGGAAAACTATTTTGTAGGTAAAAAAGGAAATAAGGGAATAGATTTATAGAATTAAAAAAAAAAAAAAAAATGAGTAGCTATTCAATATTTTTATGTTCCTATTACCTGTATATATTTGGTACCTCAACTAGAATAAAATAGGAGTAGGCACTAGTTAATAGGTTGAAGCGTCTAAAAATGTTTGTTTACGCCAATGGATAAGACAAAAATGTGAAACCTCCCCCGCGGATATGACCAAATATTCGCCTATGATCTTGATAACTGATAACTTTAAAAAACGATTGACCGATTAAAACTAATATTATTTAATAAATGAATCGTAATCGAATTACGTAATTACGTAATTACATCGTAAATTAATCGATTATGGCCCACAATAAAATTACGTAAATTAATGTTTAATTCACTCCTTATTTGTTTTTTGTTCACAATAGTTTACTTATGGCCAATAAGTATAGTAAATATACAACACACTAAAATGGTCAATAAACTGTATATTATTAAAAAATTTTATCTCAAGATATAGCTATAATTTTTCAACTAAATACTGTTATTGAAATATCATTAATCATTAATCATTAAAATTAGTTATGATTACAAATAAACACATTTAATCGTAATCAACATTATGATAACATTATTAATTTAATCATTAAAAATAATTTGATATTGTGATTATTGATTACATTCATTTCTTATAATTAATAGTTAAAAATTATAATCGTAATCTAAAATCTGTAATCAGATTATGATTTGCCCAACACTGCACGACACTTTACATTCGTTCATCAGAAAAATTCACAATTTCATTCATTTTAAAGGGCCCATTTGACTATGCAATGATATATGATAATAAACAATAATAAAATTAAAATAAACTTTTAACTCAAGTGTGTTTGAGCGTATGTATTGCGAATAACGTGGACGTAGATGTTCGCGGAGGAACTATCGATTATCTGTATTTAAACTGTCGTTGACGCGTACCTATTTTAAATAAGCAGCGTTGATAGTATTCGAAAATATAAACTTTAAATAAATAAAATTATATTTTATACTTTTTTTTCCATCTTATATTTTATTACATTTACTTTGTACTCAATTAATATTTCTGTTTATCATATAAACACTAATTGTTTTTTTTTGTATTTCGTACATATGTAAATATATTTAATTGTACACTTGCTCTCTAGAGCGTAATATAAAAACTTATAATAGTAATAATAATAAAAATAAATATAATATAGTAATGTCCAGCTATATTACAGTTTATAAACTATAATCAATTATTATTATATTATTAATAATAACGGTACTTTACTTCTTTTAATTCTTTGAAAAATAGTCCGTATAAACTGGATTGCAAGAAATTAATATGATTATAATATTTTCCATTATACTGTAAAATATTCTTAGAAAATATAAATTAAATAATAAATAATATTGTAAACGTCAAATAAATAGTATAATTTCCTTGATAAATTTACTTACAGATAAAAAATGATAACCTAAATAAACCGAAAAAATTAATCTTTAAAAATTAGGTTCGGGTTTTGGTTAGGTTTTTTAAATATTTGAAAATATGGTTTTGGTTGAGGTTCTGGTTCACAATTAGCAAAAGGTTCCCGGTTCTATAACCGGTTACTTTCGGTCAGGTTAACCACTCTTATATTATGATGCAAATAATGTATACTAGTAAATATACAGAGTGTTTCTGAAACTGATGAGGTCACTAGTATATGAATACTCAATGTTATGGTCCAATAAAGATTTTTTTTAATTTTTTCTTTCTATATTCAAAAACTTTATTTATTCAAATCACTTTTCGAATATTATCTTAAATGTAAATATAAATACTCTAATTATATTTTTTGCAAAATTCTCATATAAATCGAGACGTCACACAGTGGGATGATTCCAATATTTAGCTAGCCAAAAATTCCATTATTTAAACATACATAATCGTACATTTTATTGTTAACTATTTTTCATTTGAACATTTTGTGGATAAATTTAAAAATTTAGATCAATAAGTTGAATATCAAATAAAATAGAGCGGTTTGTTTAGAAATATTTACCTTTTTATTGAATGATTTTGATTTTTACGCGAAATATGTTAATTAATTTTATCTAGTCAGAATAGTAAAAAAAAAAAAATACTTTTTTTTATGTTAATTTACATAGAAGTATGACAAAAAAAAACTAAACTAAAACTTAAACTAAACAAAAACTCTTTAAAAGCGTAAAAATGATGGGAAACTTGGTATTTTTCTGTTAAATATTGTATTGATATTGTAAACAGGTGTGGGGAAAATTTTTTTGTCATACTTAAAAGTATTTTTTTATTATTCTGACTGAATAAAATGAATCAACATATTTCGCGTAGAAATCAGAATTATTCAATAAAAAGGTAAATATTTCTAAAAAAATCACTCTATTTCCCTTGGTATTCAACTTATTGATATACACTTTTAAATTTATCCAAAAAATGTTCGAATGAAAAATAGTTAACAATACAATTTAAGATTTTGTAGCTTTTAAAAATGGCACTTTTGACCAGCTAAATATTGGAATCATCCCACTGTGAGTCACTCCGTTTATGTGCTTGTCGTGAATTTTTTACGTTCGAGACGCCGACTTAATTAGTAAGATGTGCGATAAATTCAAAATTGAAAATAAAAGTATAATGTTAAATTTATAATAAGACGATTGTCTTATTATGTCAATATAATTATTTTATTATGATATTTAAAGACTGGGATTTCAGTCATAAATAATTAATTTCTTTTACCTCTAAATTATGTCAATACAAATAAAAGTTCCAAATTTTATTATTAAAACACATGATTTTAATTTAATTAAAAAAAAAAAAACTCTATTAATGTTAATTTTATTACTATTTCATAACTTTTTGTAATGTGCGACTCTAGTGTGAAAAATGCACAACAACGCAAAAACAGTGTATTATCTCGATTCGAATGAGAATTTTGCAAAAAATACAACTAGAATGATTATTTTTACACTTAAGATAATATTCTGAAAATAATTTGAATAAACCAAGATTTAGAGGATAAAGTATAAATTTAAAAAAACCTTCATTGGGCCATCATCAATTACGTACTCATTTATTTGTGACCTAATCCGTTTCAGAAACACGCTGCGTACAAACTAAAACATTAATAATATTCGTCCTTGGGTTTGCGTAACACGCAAAAGTTGACATACTGGTAACCGTGACGTGAATCGTTAGTTTACACATAGGCGTGTTCAGACTTTGATGATCGAGGGGGCACAACAATTTTTAAATTATGAGACTTATATTTTTATTTATTTTTAGACATAAATAATAAAAATACATTTAAAACTCAAATAAAAATACGCACATTTTACTACTGTACTATATTGAACTGTAACTATCGGTAGGTAATGAGTACAGATCACATTACTTTTTTTTTATCCTGACACGGTTTTGTTGGAGGCAAATTCCGCGGGGGGGGTCAGTGGCCCACCCGGCCCCTCCCGTAAACACGCCTATGAGTTTACATAATTATTGTTTTTCAGTACTTCAACTTTAACGCGTTACGCATCTTAAATGGTAACAATTTGGTAGTATCTAATTGTATTACAAGATTCAAAAGTCGCGTGTAGTGACAAATTCACTTGACAGTTAATTTTTCCAACCGATCGACCTCAGTAATTCGTTAACGAATAAGTAAAACTAATAACGATTATAGTTAATATTCTTGGACAACGGTGAATTCTATGGTGAGAATACCATTGGACGATGTTGTTTCACAATAATTGCACTTCAGAAGGAATAATCTAAGCGTGTAAAATTATTCTTGCTTTCGCTGCAGTGTGAGCTGAATGAGATACCTGTCATTTCGAGTTTGACGTTTTTTCGACTGGTCGGTATGGTAGCGTAATCATTACACTACAAATCGTAGCGTTATACTTTTACTGTACGTACGCGTGGTCGTAGATTACCGTACTATGTTGACCGCAGTTAAGGTATACGTGCGGGTACGTATGACAATCTGACGTATCGGTTACCTTACCGTAACGTAGTAATAATAATAATAATAATACGGTAATCTGAGAGTACGCGGTAAAAGTTCAACGTCGAAACCGAAGCCAAGATAAATGTTACACACCGACCCGACCAGCGGATCTTCGACGGACGTTTTCACGCAAGCGTTTTGTGTTTGTTCGTCGTTATTCCTTTCAAAAGCGAATTCACCGGGTACTATCGATGGAATGGAAAAATCGTCTTTCACGCGCGCGCACTTCACTCGCGAAGTTCGTAAATGCCGCGGGACACTACCGACTCGTTCCGGCATCGTGCGTTGGCGCGTCTGGTGCGAGGACCGGCTTCACTGCCAGTCGGGCACCCTGTCGGCGGCCGTGTAGTACGGATCGGCCGGTTTTCGTAAACGCGACGCCATGCTGTACTGCGGCGCGTTGGAGAACCGTGAACCGCTTTGGCCCGGCAAGTACCTGTTGGGCGCGGGCGTGCCCCTTCGGTACTTCGGGTCCAGCCGTCCCAGTATCACGGGCCTGGGCGTCTGCGTCTTGACCAAGTCGACCGGCACCGCCGGGTACTGATTCGGTCCCGGAGTGGCGCCCAGTTTGGCGCTGCGTTTCGATTTCTCGTTCAGGCCCGTGATAGAGAACTTCGGAGCGCTCGGCATGTCCGGCAACTGGTTGCCGATCGTGGTGGCCAGTGAATACGCGTTCGGCGCAGGTATGCGAGTGGTCTTGCGCCGATCAGTCCGTTTCAACCTGTGCGCAACGGAAGTATTATATCGTTGTTTAGTTATTTTAGCTTTGAACGCGTGTTTCGTCAATTAACAATAATTTGAATAAAATTGTTTTTATCGCATTACATATGCGATCTCTAACATTTCCGTTATTTTAATTTATTTTCATGTGTGATTTCATACAAACTTTACTTTTTCGTCCGTTTTGTATTGAATTAATTTTAACCTTGACGATTAGAACAATAATATATACTATAAATGAAAACAATATGTACTAATTAATTACGAATATTAAGTATGCGAGGAAAAGTGAAAAATATGTATTATAAAATCGGTATTGTTTTTAAAAGAATTACATTTTAAGTCTTAAACACATTTCTTATTAGATTTTAAATAACTAGTTATTCTGATAAACCAGAATATAACTATAGTAATCACTAGAAGTTTATAGCACTAAAAAGTACTGAAATAAATGCTGATTTATGATTCAAAAAATCTTAAGTAAGCGCTATAACACGCCATAAAAACAAAAAATAAAAACTATTTATTTAAAAATCTGTTTATTGTATTCTTTTGTTGATAGTTAAAATATAATATTTAATAATTATTTATGAAATAATAATTATATAAAAATGAAACAGATATACGAAGATTTTTTTATTATACATTTTTAAAAATTTGAATTTAAACTAAGAGACTAATGGTGCAATTACCGGAATGGTTAGAAATGTCAAAATGTAGGACCTTAATATTTACCGGCATTAAGGGATCTTTACCCATCCAAAAAGTCTATTTCCATATCACAAAGTAAATATCGAAATTCTAATAAAATTTTGTTATGAAATTAGAAAAAATATCACGAAATACGGATTATTATGTTAGTAATAACTAGGGTATAGTTCTGAATGAAAATTGCTTTTTCTGAATGTTCGAAAAATACAAAATTAATTTCAAATCATGAAGGAATTGAAAAAGGTAGTTATGAAGTTCTCACCCATGTCTTAATTCTAAGCATAGCTGAAAAATTACGCTCAAACATTACAGAGCTAACTGGTACAGTGAGTGCTACTTGTAACATTTTGTCTAAATTCGGTATAAATTGCTGTTGTATAAGTATATAATATATACAGTGGCGTATATATGGGGGGGGGGGGGCTGAGGGTTCCATCCCCCCCCACACACACACACAAAAAAAATATTTGAAAACGTCAAATTTTAAACATATCAGTAATACAATAATTTTAGTTTGTTTATTCAATAAAGTATTAATGTATAATGAAAAAAAAATATATATATATATATATATATATACAAAAATATTAATATCGTTAATAATTAAATTGTAATCGGATAATAATAATAATCGACCACACAGCACACACACACACATGGTATATAATTTGGGGAAATTATCGGTCGATAAGAATATCTTAGTCTGTGACTGTCACGTCTTGTTAGTTGTCAGTATGCACTATGCATCTATTCGCAACATAAAGTAATATAAAATACGATTAATACTTTTAATTTAGTTATTAATTATTATTTAGTATTTAAACAATAAGTTGATAAAGATTATTTTATACTAATTTATAAAATTATTTCACTATTAGGTATGATCCCCCCCCCCTTAAATTAAGTTTCTAAATACGCCAATGAATATATATAATATTATAAGAAAAATGTTCTCAATATTTGAAATGTAGGTACGATGTATACTTAAAAAAATGTTTCTTAAAATTTGGCAAACATTTTTGAGAGGAATTACTGGTTATCAGAAGGGCTAAGCCCCCCCCCCCCCCGGATATCCGCTAATGTTTTAAAAATATTTAAATCCAGTCTTTAGTTATAATTTATAACATTTATCTAATAATAAAACAAAACTATCAAGAAACTATGTAGAAAACTATAGTTATAATATTACTTAGTATAATATGTTTATGGTTGTGTTTTTATTTTTCCATCGAGTTATATTTTATAGTTATCGAACTATTAGGTACTATTAAGTATTAGGTATTCAATAAATAGCATGGTGAAGTAATGTAGCCATATAAAGGTGATTTTGTGTGACCATAGGAAATATATACTCTTTAGTCTTAGCTCTAAATTCTTAATACCCATCAGCACTACCAATGACACTAGATTTATTTACTAATAATTTAAAATTATAAAGAACCAAAGAGTATTTAATAAAAATATACTAGGTTGTAAAAATAAAAATAAATTAATAACTGTTTGAATACTTTCATAATAAAAGTAATAAAATAATTGCACTCTAATACTTTACTCAAGTAATTTACAAATTACTTGCGTAGACAGTTTGTTGCATGCGCTTAATTTTTATTAACAGTGTCTAACTTTTAGTAACAATAAGTTGAATTTTAATATTATATTATTATTATATACATATATATATATATAATAATATATATATTATTATATATTTATATTATTGTGAAAAATTTGAATTATAGGGCCTTTCTTTAAACGTGTTACTAGGGTTTCGGGTGGCTTAGTTGCATCACTGTTTGAAACTTATGAAAAATATCAAATAAATTGAATCTAATAATGCATATATAAGTGAAAAAATTAAAAATTAAACAAATAGCACAATAGCTGGAGAAATAGCATTATAAAACTAAAATTGTAGATTATAAATCCTTGTTACGTAAAATCAGGCATGTCAAACTCAAAGCATCAAGTGGATCCAGTATATTGAATATTGACTACTCGAGCCGCACATAAACACTTAACGAAAGAATAAATATTTTATATTATTATATGTAAGCATACAGGATCATCAAAAAAACTTATTCAATTAAAGTTTATCAGAAGATAAGACATAATAACGTTTACCAAATATGCCATTCCCTAAGAATCTAAATTGATTGTGACACGAAATTAATATTTTATAATTTTTTTTTACTGTTCATTTTTTATTTTGTCCATTAATATTGGTGGCTGTGGACCACAAAAAATTAGCCCATGTGACATGCCATGGGTAAGACGAATGTACAACTTAATGTGTTAACTGTTGAGAATGTAACATTTGTGTTAGTAGCAGTACGCGCGCATTTATCTGTTATTATTATACTGACCCCATAGAGTACATCGGCATCGCGGGTGTGATTAACGGCAGACAGGGCACGACGTCGTACGTTGTGGGACCTGGGATACGCTGCGTCCGCCGTACGTGGTCCTTAGCCCCCAACGAAATGCCGGTAACGGTGACGGGTCCGCGACGGGTCACGTCGCCTACCGCGTACTTGGGCCCGGGGATCTTGGCCGCCGGTTTCGGCTGTAGCAGCTGGCCCAATGAAAAGGCGGGCGCCCTTTTCAACCTCAAGTCCGCATCCTCGTAGCCAAAGGCGTTCGGGACGCCGTACTTCGGTCCCGGTGATCGGTACATTGTAGTCATGTCCGATAATGAACGTGCCAGTCGCCGCGCCGCAGTTGCCCTAGCAATGGTATCCTGTTGCGCGAGTGAGCGACGGCAGCGTTGTTCGTGTGTTCGGGGCCCAACACGTGAGAAAGATATTACTTAGGTGTTGACGCGTTCGGCTTCCGGACGACTGCGATGCGTGTTCAGAAAAGATGTGTGTTGATTAAATCCAACCACCTAGTCGGAAAAATCTCAATAGCGACGTCGGTTATCGACGCAAAGGTTAGAATAGTTCAAAAATATTTTAAATATAATGTATAATGCACTGTATTCGCAGATATTACAATATATCTCGTAGCGGTGCAACAAATCTGTTTGTAAATTCAACCATGGTAACCGATACGATGTGACGATGTAATATATTATTATTGCCTACAGTTAGCAAAACTATTTAATGTAGCCAGGTTAGAGGATGCCGTTACAGTTATGTATGTAATAAAATGGTAATGGTTGTGGTAATAAAACATGCTGGGTCGCATATCGTTGGCCAGTAATCAGTATATAGGTTAAAGTCTGGTACATATAAAACAGCCCGTTAACGTTTGGGATTGTTAGAAAATGGCACTCGTTGGGACCACATTCTCGAATATACTGTGATTTTGTCAAATACGAATATTGTTTTTTTAAATTTTTCATTACATGCTTCCCATTAACACCGATTGATTTATGGAAATAAATAAATATACATAAATAAAAAGTTCACATAACCGAAGATATATTACATTAAAATCAACTTAACCATCGAATACAAATTTGTAAATTAACGAAGAAATTCACAACAAAGCATTAATTTTAATTGAAGACATGTGCTTGATAATTACCAATAAAGAATTAATATAATTATAAATGAAAATGCCTAACACCCAATGCATGACGCATTTAATTAAGAGTTGAAATGGTATTTATACTTATTTCTGATTGAATTTTGTTACAAAATTGTGTTTTAAAATTTTATAGATAAGAATCTGATACGATTTTGTTAAACTGTACACTTTTTGTAATTATTCGTTACTGTAAAATTTAAAAACTGCTACATAGCACGTTATTCTTGTCTTTCAAATACTGAAATAACTATTGACGTATATTATTTATATTGATTACATAAACATACAGTGATCATTGCTTATTGAACTCACTTCCCTATTGAAATTAAAATAGATTGTTACAATTTGCATGTATACTAACAAAGTAGCACCGGATTGCCAAAATAAAGGTGTGACAACATTTTATTATGATACCCACCCACCAATGGGTACATTTATGTGAGTGTTAAAGACCCCTCTCCCCCCAAAAACAATTGCTAGCCCCTAATAATTCAGAAAGATGTCAATCAAAACTGTAGTATAGGCCTGACAGGTTAAAAATTGCAATCTTCCAACTTTGCAACTCAAATTGCTCATAACTGTTGAATTTAATTAATTTTAAATTGCAGTTATGTTATATTTTAATTTTTTAATTAATAGTTACATATAAATTTATTTATTAATTTCAAATTAGGGTACGGGCAAATTAGTTGTCAATTCAATTTATGATTAAATATTATTTAGGTACATACCTACTAAAATATTTTATAATTTAACTTTCACAAAAGATACAGAGAATATTATTACTGAATCAAATTAATTCATTACATGACTTCTAAGAAACAAAGTTTTATTTCTTAAAGCAAATGCAGCAATTTGAAACACAAATATTTAGGTATAGGATGAGAATAGTAGATTCAAACAAATCAACGTTAACAAATAAATTAAGTATTATAAATATTATTACATTTTTTAGTAGTAGTATTGATTAAATATACATAGATAGCCCATAGCTATACGCAATATGGAAACACGTAAATTAGTACGGATTATGTGACAATAGATAGCGTTGGTAAATACTAAATTGTACACAATACACAAACCGGTAGAATAAAAATAAACTGCGATAAGAAGAATTCCAAGAATATAAATTAAATTGAATATTGTTATTTACTAAATCCATTGATTAAATATACATGTATATTTAATCAATGCTAAATCTGAATGGCTAATCATATAATGTTATTTTATTTTCGAATATTATGTTTTCTCATGTTACTACTCTGATAATTGCTGAATAAAGTTAAGTTTAAAATGTTAATTTTAAGTAAAATAATTATTTTTTTTAAATAATAATTTTTCAGAAGCAACTCAAGCACACTAAGGAACATTATTGATTTATTTTATATTTAATCAATGAGAATATAGGTACCATAATTGATTTAGGATCTAGCAAAATATTTTTATTTTAAACAAAACAACTTAAAAACTTACACATCCATCTAAAATTATTGATAATAAATTTTAAAAAGGTTGTGGTTTTACACTTTTACAAATTAACAAACACATAGATACATTATTTTATAATCAAAAATTAAAACAAAAGTAAACACAGGTTGGAACAGATCTAAAATCTTGATGATAAAACATAAATTTAAGACAATAACAATTTTAAATAAAAGTATAGTATAGATAATGTAAATATAATTATTACATTTTACGTACTTAAGAGCGACGTTTTACACGTATTGATCAGTATTACAAAATAAAACGTTTTAAATGTTTGTTTTGTTAAAAATAAATAGTATATTTAAAAACTATTTATATACTGTGATAACGAGTTAATACCCATTTATAACACATATACAGCACATAATATTCATAAATAGTAATATCATCGTTTTAATAGACTAAATATGAATTAACCAATGGCAATATTAAAAATTTATATATCATGAATAACACCTTGTTCATATTTTTGTACACTATATTTATAAATTGTACACTTATATTATCATACTTAATTCACTCATTGCGTTAAATTTACATATTTGCAATTTTGAATTGTATCGTTTATACAACATATAACCTTTTTTCGAAAATTGTTTAGTAATTTTGTTATAGATAACAGCTAAAATGATCATATATTAATTAAAAAATGCTCAGCCATGTTTAATTTATTTCAATATGAATAAATTCTTAAGATATACTTAGTTAATAGTCGTATTGTAAAGATAAATAAAAGAAAAAAAAATCTGTTGTACTTTACAGGATTCGAAATCGAAACTCCTGGGTTCAAATCTGTATAATATGACAACTGAACAACAAAAATAGCACACTCTGATGTCTAGCTCCCATACTACTAGATTTCTGGCTCCCCCGGTCGGTTATTGGGAGCTTCCATTCATTATCATTGTATGGGCTATCTATGTATATTTAATCAATGGTAGTAGTAATAGGAGTAAAATAAAATAATATTTTGATAAAATTTAACATATAAATGTATAATAAAAAATCTTGCATGGCCGTTTATTTATGTAGACTTATGGCTTATCCGCTTATTAAAATTATTAAAATACAGACGTAATGTATACGGGATATATTATTTTGAGGTGGCGCGCACACGTATCATGAGTGAGGGTGACGCACAAGTGGTAGAAATAACATTATTATAACGTTATTATAATAGTAATAATAATGATAATAATAATAATACAGAATATATATATCGATTACAGTGTATATTGTATGTTAATAACTAACAGATAAATACAAAACTGAGAAAAAACAAGTGTTTACATAAATTAAGAAATTACGTGATATACACGGTGTTGGAAAAATAGCAACGCATCACAGTTCAAATTGTGGCACCTAGCGGACATTGTCGCAATTGCTCGCGTCTCCTTTCCGGTGATGGATGGGTTGACGAGGTGTTGCGGCGATGTTGCGTGCTGCGCTCTGGTGGTTAACGAGAGAAATAAAGCTACGGTGGGCGACTAACGTCAAAATTTTACTATGTACAATGTTAATATACTACTAAGTTTTACTATTTTTTTATTGCATAGGTGTTACCTAACGGTAGTATGGTTCCACCTAACCACCCACGACCCATCCATTAAAAAGGTGTAACCGCTGTCACATCTTTAAACCGTGTTCGGCGCCACTGTATTAACACAATGAAAAATATTTATCATTAGACTTCGCTACAATGCTTTGTCATTTGAGAATACGATTTAAAGTCTGCTAAATAAAAATAAGTAAACATAAATAATTTTTAGTAAGCGATGCATACAAATTTTTGTTTTTTCTATTTCGCCCATACACTATTTTAATATTGAAAATATTAATATATTAATAGTATATTAATTATACTAAATGTTTAAAAAAAAGTTAAAAATAAATTTGACTATATCATTATTTTTAAATAATATAATCATGTTGTAAGCATTTTAGTCGTTATTTAGATACATGGTATGTGATAATTTCGAGTTGGAGATTTTTTTTTTCATGTAACAATATTGGAATAAATGGCAAGGAGAAAATAGGTAATTCAAGTATAATTTTTTTAATTTTTTTTTATACATTTTCAAAATAATTATTTATCATTTTGATAAGAGGTGAGGTTATTATTATCATTATCATAATTATTATTATTTTTAAACCTATTCATGTTATATATCTTCATAATTTTATCTTATTTAATTTGCTGTATTGTTGATTTGTTGTCAAATCAAACAAATAAATAAATAATAATAAGAAGCGTTCACAGTTTGTTTCATGAGCAAAATCAAAAGTCTATAAGATATTATGGTTAATTTTAAATAAATCAATTTTAGCTATTTTCCAATGAACCAAAGCATTATTATTTAAATAATATAATAATATTAACTAAAAATTGGGAATTTAGGACATAGGATATTATTATAAATTTATCAGATATTTTTTATTCATAAAATTCAATAAAATAATTGTTATTATTAATAAACAATAATATTTGAAAAAAATGTAACCACCTTAATTAAGTTAAGCAACCAATAAGTAATGTATATCAATATAAATGTAGGCTAACAACTTAGTTATTGGAGCCTTTAAGTATAATAAAAAATAATAATATTAATAATAATATTTGTAAAGTTGAGGTAGTTTCTAATAATAAAATGATCAGATTATAATATAATATAATTGAATTAAATTAAAATTATTTTAAAATATGAGTAAAAAGGTAAAATGATCATACAATGATATCTAAATCTTTAGTATACTGACAAGTATAACTAACTATTTCTTCAGCACGCAACGGTTGTATTGTATCTTTTTCTCCTTCTACATGGAACACATAATAATTATCTTTCCCCAACATCCAATTTTTCTAAGCATTAAAAATTATTTATTAATACTAAAAATAAACTGAATTATATTAAATAATTTTACTTTAATAGCAAATTCTTTCATTTCGTTAATGTCGTTAAAATTTAGTTTTTCCATAGCAGAAACAATGGACACTTTTTTGTATGCTACTTGTAAGCATTTAGCAATTTCATCACGGACTGTGTTAAACAAAATGCTCATAAAATAATTGTAAGTATGGGATGGTACATTATTCTTTGATTCAAATATCTAGAAATTGAGTTCATAATAATAAAATATAATATAAGACAAAAAAACATTTAAAATTTATAAAATTATAAGTTTATGATTACCTTATTGTAATTGCCTTCCATCAAATACTGTTCTAAAGCAACCGAATGAATAATATATGGGTTAGTTTGAATTATATTAAATGGGAGTAGCTCTAATTCAGTATGAAAGTCGGCTATTCGGTTTTGCGAGAGTAAAAACAATAAATTTAGACCAAACAAATGATATTCATTGAGAGACTTTGGTAATATTTTGTCCCTTTATACAAATAATTATTTTTTTAACATTTTTTAATATTTATGTCATTAATTTTTTTTACTTGTAGTCCAAATAATATGGCTTGAGTTGAGCCATGTATCGTTCAAAAGATGAAATATCATGCATGCCAACGCTACATTGAACACCAATTTCTAAAATATCTCCTGCAAATATTTGTAATTAGATTATTATTTTGAAAAAACTAATATATTTTTTGTTATTTTTGGAATGTCAGAATCTAAAATTTTTCATATAAACTTACTTGTAAAAAAATACTCTCTTAGATCTGGTTCTTCCACATTTACCGGTAAAAATTTATGATTAATCATCCCAATCTAAATAATAAGAAATTATTAATATATTCATAAGTTCACTTTAATAGTTAACTTTTATTTTAAATTCAATATAATTAATCATTAAAATAATTCTATATTATTATAAATTTAATATTCATCAATCATTTTTTCTGTTCACATTAAAGTATATACAATCATAATACACAAATGTTTTTACGATAAATAGCAGAATCATGATAAAAAAAAGCTTTATGATTTAATTCAGTATGTATGAGTTCATAGAGGCAGATTCATTGATTTATATAAATTAATGATAACATACATTTTAACGAGAGAAGTTCTTTTGGACTTGTTTTGGTTTTTATATCAGACTATCACCAATGACATTAATTTATAATGAACATTTCTTGAATAATATGTATCCCTAAATATTAATTAATGATTAGAAAAAACATTAAATAATTAAAAGTAATTAATTAATATTTGATATATATTTATTTTAAGTAAATGTATCTAAATAACAATATATAAAAATCAATAATTTTAATGACCTTAAATATTGTTAACATTTTCTACCACTGATTTTACTTTTAAAAATTTACTAAATATTTACTTTTATTTATATGTAATAAGTTTTAGTTAAACTAATCATCTTTATGGATATAAGTAGTTATTGGTTATTACTATAATAGTTGATTTATAATTAAGTTAAACATTAAAATAATAATATATAATTGATGAAATCTCTACTATCAATTTCAATATCATCTAGTGAAATTAATTAACTAAAAAATATTAAAAGACTTAAGCAAGAATACATTTTCCAATATAGGATTTATCCAATAATTAAACAGAACAAATGATTATGTTGTTAATAACTAATATTATTGACGAATAAATTACTAATTACTTATAACTATTAGTGTATATATATAAACACCGTTTTTATAAGCAACATTTAAAGCCATTGTAGAGTATTAGTATCTGAAGTCATATATGTATGTATATGGTAGCCAGAGAGATGCACTAATTTTGTGTTTGTTTTAATAATATTAAAATATTATTAACATTCTATTATATAATAATGGATGTTTGCTCATTTAATTTATTTTACTAATGAATATTCATAATATTTTACTGTTAAATAAGATTTTGATTTAAAACCAAATAATTTATGGTTTTTGTAAAATTTAAATTAGTTAAGTAGTCTTATCAACTTTTGAAATCCAAACTGAAACCGGGTAAGTTATGGTCAATTTATTTCTTATATATAGATAGAGGCATACCTTTGTAATATTGGTATATGACAATTATTCCTAACATGGAGTTGGAACTCATGAACAGAAAATGAAGGGTGTCTCCACGGATGTCATAATCTAATACCATAATAGTAATAATAACAACAATAATTGTATACTGATCTTGTAAAGGTAAACCTTTATTTATATTTGACATGAATTAAACGGTTTCAGATCAGAATCAGATTAAATAGTTAGAAATTGTAAACACTCAAAAATATAACAAATAATTTACATAAAAAAAAACCTTTTACATTATAATATACACAAAATTAATGCATCTGTGATACATTTACAAACATTAACCAAAAACACTAACACTCTCCTTGGTCACCTAAAGTTTACTAACAAAAACACTACTTTACCTCATTTAATTTATTTGCTAATATTCTTTTATTTAATTATTGTTAAAAAATCATTTATTATGTTAGCATATACAACACTATGCTTTGTCACCTTGATATCCATCAACATGTCGTTACACTTCTTGAAATCGGGTTGTGTCTTGTTCCACTCCATTTTCAAAGTCCAGAACAGGTTTGTTATCTCGTAAAAGGAAGACATAATGTTATTCGTACGTGAACTTCGCGCGATTGGTCTACTAACAAACACACAGAGTTTAACATAATAATCGGTTATGGACAATGGGAGAAACTCACCTGCACACAACGTTATCAAAATTCTCGCAACAGACTAGTTTGACGACTGTAGGCGCAGTTTTTACTGTTCGTGGTCCGACGTTGACAATTTCAAATTGATGGGAACGGGGATTCGGCTCAAAGAAGAACCTACGAGAATTCCGATAATAACTTATTATTCAGAGGGCGGGACTTGACAATGACAAATACATTGAAAGATATCAAGTTGTATATCAGGTGTACGTAGTGATAACGCGATGACTGTTGAAAATATAGCAACAGCTTACAGATGCTATATAACAATAATATTCTGGCAGCACGATTAAAGATATATTATATATCTTTAATTGTGTCTAGCAGTAAGGTTATAGTGTGGGAAACAAAAAATATCGAAAGAAAAAATTTGTCTATCACCTCAGCATCCGCAGAGCAAGAGCATATGATTGTGACACAACATCGATAACTGACAGTGCGCGCAATACGACCACTCCAATATTGCACTGTAATATGGTGATAATACATCGGTAGGTGAAATTAATTTTAAATTTTGAATGAAATAGAAGAAGTTTTCATTATTAATTTACATTTGTAAGCCATAGTATGAACGTTAAACCTACAACACAATAATTATACATTTAAATAGATTGGTAATAGCCTTAGAACTTAAATGTATCCACCAGTTTTTAAATCTCAGCCATGCCATAAAAAAGTTTAAAAATGAGTGTAAACTTATTTCTTGTGAATTACTTTTTCCATTGTTTACGTAGTTTCCACTTTAGGTTTGTCCTTGACAGCGGCTAGAACCGAACCCATAATAACCGGTTCTGGAACACAAGAATTTTTAAAATATTGAAAACCGGAACCGAACTTTTACATATTCAAAGAACCGGAACCCTCATTATAAAATGAAAAATATTGGATTTAACAAACATTATTCATTATGTTATTATTATGTTTTTATTCTTAAAATTTTAAAATATAAATAAATTTTCGAGATATAATTTTTTTTTTTTAAATGTAATTTTTGATCATAATTTTTAATATTATGTGCTGACAGACGGATGACTAAAGGCCAAACCGGTTAATACGAGTACTCCAATTTCACCAATACAAGGGTCATCTCAGTGGTGAATTGGACAACATATCCTCTTATGTATAGTTAAAACTTAATTTAATTTATACATATTACTGTTCTTCAACATGTAAAAACTGTTTTTGGCCAAATAAATAGTTATTATTTATTATTATAAATAAAAATTTGAATCACAACATTATGAGTTTAGAAATTAAATTTTATTTTGCTATTTTTCTCATATTATTAAAAACTATTTTTAAGTTTAATTACAATACTATAATATTATACATTACTACATACTGTAAAACCAGGTGAATAGAAACTGATGGGTGAATAAAAACACTTTTTGATAATAACTCCTAACTATGGATAATATAGTTACCATTGGATACGTTAAAATGAACTTTATTTTTGAGAATTTTTCTTTTATCAAATTATTGAAAATGTTGTTAACAACCGTACCAACTATTTACTTTTACCTCCTTAGCAAAACAAATACTCATAAAATATTTATTTTGATAAGAATATTTTACCTCCAAAAATTAAGTGCAAATTCGTTATCAGTTAATAGTATCGAAACAAAGTCTTAACTCACCAAAACTATTTTACACGACCAGACATAGTTGTGTAAATTAATTTAATGTAAGAGTAAACTCATTATAACTATTGTATAATTTATAATGACATTTTGAACTTAGATTTATTAATTTTAGAGTAAATAGAAACATGCCGAATGAATATGTTTTTCTATCTAATATGTATTTATTATTTAAAAGATTCAAATACCAGTGTTGGAAATGATAACCAATATTTTTATCTAGATTAAAAATAAAGATAATGACTAAAGGTTTATCTAAGATAAAGATAAAAGATAATTATTTAAAATAAAATTTAAGGTCTGACTCTTGATTATAATTTAAAAATAACTCTTTTATTTAATGCCTTAAGGTTTGATGGAATATTCTTATTATTCTTAAAAGTAAATAAGTTAATAAATTATTAATTTAAATTATTATTTATTATACCTACCTATATTTTAATATCTGAACAAGTATTGATTACTAAGTGGTCTTATTATTCATAATTTTTTAACTAAATTTTATTTGGATATATAAGTAAACATTAAGTTGTATGAAGATAATATACTAGTATACAAGTATATTACGTTTGGTTGTACTAAAATTTGTATTAAAATATTTTTTAATGTAATAATTTCGATTTTAAAATACATGTAAATGTCACAGTTCACATATTTCAATTATTATTGTATGACAAATTATGAAAAATGGCTAAATAAAATAATAAAATCTTATTTTAATAAAAAAAAAGAACCACTGCTTGATTTAACATATATTATCTAACGACAGAAAAAACGAAAAAAGATAAGTATAAGAAGTACTCTGGATTTATCTAGATAAAAGATGAAAGATAATTTGGATGTTATCTAGATTATCTTTTGGACAATTTTATCTAGATAGTCCCAACACTGTCAAAGACTAAATTTATTTAAATGTTATTTATATCATATAATTACTGTATAAACTAAAAGACTAGTTATTTTATATTCATGTAAGGCAACCAAAAAACTGATTGGCTTATTATTTTAATACCTATTTAAAAAAGAAAAATTTATTTTGTTGTGTTGATTATGTTAAAAATAATAATAATAATATAATTTGCGATCTAGGACAAATGGATGCGAAAAAAACATAAATAATAATACATTTATTTTATTCGGGTATAGGTAATTTTATTCAAATATGGCGTCAAATATGATGATATATATAAAAATAAATATTAATATATAAAAACAAATACAAATTACAATACATACAATAAAATTAAAAATGTAATAATTATAAAGTTACTGTACAGAAATATTTTGAAACGAGTAGTATGGCTAATAGGTATTTGATATAAAAAAAAAAAAAAAAAACAGATAAAAAGAAGTTACTTAATACAATTCCATAACATCTATTATGATTATATTACAATTTTCCCTATAACCGCGGTAGCTGTTAAAAAAAACTTATTCTGATTTATATATATATATAAATTAGTTGAAGAGTGAAATTTTGAGAAATTTATTTTTATATATTATGCCATATTGCTAGAATAATGTCATAATACCAGTAACATATATTTAATTTTTAAATATGTATTCAAAAATACTATTTAGAACCTTATAATACCGAAACCCGAACCCAAACCTTTTAATAAAAAAATGAGCCGTCGTGGGACGCCTGGCAGGTGTGAAACATCAACAATTTTCTTTTTGTAATAATTTTTATTATAACCGCTTCAACAATAACAAGCGTCCATTTAGATTATTGAGTTAATAAAGTATTTATTAGTATAAATAAAATAATTAATTACTTATTAGTGGCTTATGAGTTAATATTCTGGGGAGACTTAAAATTATTTAACATAAACTCCATACAACAACAAACAAGAAAAACCCTTTTATTGAAAAACTAATTATATTACAGTATTACATATTTAGTTAACCACTAATTAATAAAAAGTCTATTATTTGGTCTTTTTGCATTTTAAAAATAATTACAAATATAATAAATATCAGGTAGAAAATAGTATGCTTGTAGTAAACGTGTTATAATTATTAAACAATAAAAATACATTCAATTATGAAAATTACTGAGAACGGCGCGCGGTATGGCAATTATTGTCGTGAACTCGTTCCAATATTTTCGTTCTATTTTCTCTGTCACTCATATTTTAATAGAAAATAATATTTATATATATACGATATACGTATATTATATATTATTACGATATTATATATTAGTTTAAAACAACATATTATACATATAGGTATGTAACAATATAGGTGTACATATTATATCGGTACGCTGACATTGCGCGCTTAAAGAGGAAATCGCCTAACTTCGGCGAATTGGACCGACGAACCACGAGTGGAGCGTCGCCACGCCTCAGTCGGTCTCATTGCCGTACCGCGCCATCAGATGTTTCACATCAAAAATAATTTGTTTTCAAGTAAAACACAGGTTTGTGTACTGTAGTAACCAACACTGTATACACTATGGAGTATACACTATAGGATCGAGTGAGAGAGAATCGCACAATCGATTGCGCATGGCGACGCGTCGCCACACCGTACACACGACTGCATATAGATTATATATATATATATACCATCATATAACCACAGAATAAAATAGAATGGACTCTGATAACAAATAGGACAATAATGAAATCAGTCAGCCATTTTATTCCATCATGAAACGGTAGTAATATTCTTTATAAGCTACTGCGCATTTTCAAATGTTACTAATAGTAGTATTATTTTTCAAGGTATTAGGTTCAATAAGAGTTTGAGATTTGAGGGGCTTATAAGTCTTATACTATGGTATGACCATGGGTCAACCCGGACCTCCCATCATTACCAAAAAAATACAAATTGTGTTTTTGTAAATGTATTACAATTGTATTTGTAAATTTACTACAACAATGATTTGCATTTTATAGTATTATATCGATATAAACGTTTTTAATATACTTAAAAAATGTATAAATACCTGTATAATACTATTTAATCATCGATGAATCTATTTTATACATTTTTTTTTTTTTAAACACATTCCATTCTGAAATCCTGCATATGGACCTGTATTATGGTAGACATACTATCTAAAAAATGATCTACAAGTAAAAACTTCTTAGTACCCAGTAAGTCACCATGTTTCACACTGTTTGGTAGATCACATATTGAACAATTACTATAATTGAAATTACAATTAATAACGAATATCAGTTATTACTGATTACAATTTGATAACAAAAGTACCTCAATTAAAATGGCCGCTGATTTCGTTGCCGCCGTGTTGTGTCCTCCCCCTGATATAACGTGGTGACACGTCGCCACGCCAGAAGTCGGTTTTACGTGTGGCTATAGATGTTTCAGCTGGTACCGAATTCCGTCCCGGAGGCGGAGCAACTATGTCTGAATTCCGTCCTACTACCTGTAACTATGATATATTTGGCAGTAATATTTTCCTTCACATTTTCTCCAGGCTTAGGACTGGCAGCTTTGCTGGCATGTTTAAAAATGTAAAATCCGGCAAAACAGCCTTATTTATTTATTATTGACATACGGAGCAAAAAAAAAACTCCACTTATAGTATATGCCATTTATGTATAAATATGACAGTCATATAAGTATTTTAATAAATTTAAGAGTATAAGTATAGTATATGTTATGTGTAATTAGTATTTAAATTATTTTTTTTTTTAATTATTAGTTTTTAGATTTGAAATAGGCTGGTAAAAACTTAGACGACACCTGACTTTGGTATACACAATACATAGTATATAAATCGTTTCCGTTTTTATTGCGAATAATTGCGATAATACAAAAAAACGATACGTGTGATGTCAGGTGAAGCCTCTTGAAGTTCTATAAAATTGAATTTATATTAATACCGTCCAAGACTAGTCGGGACGGAATTCGGACATAGTTTATCCACCCCCGGGACGGAATTCGGACACAGTTGCTCCGCCTCCGGGACAGAATTCGGCGATTGCCGATGTTTCACATCAATAATCGAAAACCGGAACCCTAAAAATTTAAAGGTACCAGTCTCTGGTTCTTGAAAACCTACAGAACCATTGACTTGAATGTTATTTTTAAAATAACATAAGTACAATTAATATTTTATTGAACTATATATGGCCTCATGCATTTGTTGTAATTGATTAAACTTAATGATTTTTTTTTTAAAAAAAAACAAATAAATGGTTAACAAGTTCTACATAAAATATTATGATATTTTTGTATTATCTTTCGTAAATAACTAATAATTTTAATAATAATACATACTATACAAAAAATAATTTCAATAATTTTTTTATAATAACGGTAAATTTTCGCTACCATTTTTTTATAAGATTAATCCAGTATGAGTGGATGGTTTTTAACGTTTTATATTCTAACTAACTCATAAAAATGTTCGTTCAGATCGAAATTGTTTTTTGAATATGTCCGACTAATAAGTTCATAGATGATAATAGTAGGAGCATAAGTTTTATTTTCATTTTTATTGGAACAAAGGTCGCAAACTCGTAACAGCCGTGCTATCTCGCGCCGCTGCATTTAACTTATCGGAACGATTAAGGTGTGATTCCTATGGACGTGTTTGCAGAAGCCCGCAGTGCGGCGCGATTCGAATTTCAGCCGCGCTGTCGATTTTTTGACCGCACGACTTGGGTTCGGATTCCTATAACCGCGCGACTACCGCCGCGCCGCGCCGGACCGCAACTTACCATTTTTAGCAATTCTTTGTAAGCAACAAGACGTATTTTACAATAGCTATCTGTTTCTTTTTCAAAATGTCTT